GAGGAGGGGAGGGAGGGAGGGGAAGATAGAGCACAGGGTAACGAATAAACACAGGATAGCTGGGTGCTGGGGGGTGGGAGGGAGACAATACAAGGAAGGGGAGGGGAATGAAAGAACAAGGCTGATGGGACAACAGTTAGGCAGGTTCGCATGCGCTAAGTGGAACAGAGGTAAATGATGAGATATGCATAACCTTGGAACAACAGAGCTCCGGCATACAGTGATTGAGGCATGGTTTGAATAGGTAAAAGAGGGGAATAATGTTAAGATGCTTGGCTGTCTTTTGAACCTTGGTTTCCTTTGCCTACCATTGTAAAATAGACACAAGAGGGAGGGAGAAAGGAATAGCCAGAAACATCACTACAGAAAGCTTGTAAGTCCATCTTCAGCCTACAACTGATTGGAATACCATAAAGGGGGCTAGAAGTTGCCCAGTGAAAGAGGCTTCCTATGGTGTCTTTACATTGCATAAGACCACAGGTGGAATCCAGAACCCCATCCAGAATCATCTGAGGTAGGAAATTTCCACTGGAAAGGACAAATAGACCAGCCTGGGGCAGCCAGAAGAACAGAAGATACTTCATGAAAGAAAAACTGGCAGGAAAAATCTGAAACAATAACGGCTGTCTGATTGATTACTATAAGAACAAGTAAGCTGTTAACTTGGGAGCCATCAAGGCAAGTGGTGGGGACCCCTCAACACAAACTCCCTTCCAAGACTGAGACTCAAGGGGAATACATGAACAGGCAGGTGGTGTGGCTGTTAACCACGTTGATCACCGATAAGGGGAAGTGGAGGGAAAAACAACATTGAAGTTGGGAGCTAAGTCCGACCACATTCAAGAGATCCCTGTGAACCTGGGTGGAGACTTGGATGGCCAACAGTATGGCAAGACCCGGGGACTCCTGGGCCCAGAGGCAGTGACATGGCCACAGAGGACTAGAGCAGAGAGTGAAGCATCCAGCTGATACAAAGTGAGGGGAGATGCACAAGAACACCCATACTTGCAGATAGTACCCACTTGACCTGACTTCGATGGCTGGATGATCAGAACTCTACTAGAAGAAGAAAGAAGGGGGCTGGGAAATAACCTGCTACAATTTGATGAACTTGACCTATACTTATGGATGTAATGGCTCAAAAAGGGAACAAATCTTTACAGCAAGGATCACTCCCACTCCCTTGGTACACAGGGTTGACAGGGATGGGCAACTTAGACATTGGCTACTCAAAATGGAGGAGCCTATACAGGCAAGAAGTGACTGACTTACAAGCTTTCAAGAGGGAGCCTAGTTCCAGTCTAGGGTGGGGGAAGGTAGAATCTCCACTGAATAATTTCCAATCTGTTGGGACCAGACTGGCAAAAGGAAATGTTACAATAGTGACTAATTGCCATCAGGACTGACTGTGAGGGTAGGAAATATAGAGGTAGATTTTTTTGACAAAAGGAGGGGAGAGATTGATTTTGCAGCCCAGTAGCAGAAGTCCCTGGGACCATCAAGTGAGAAGAGCGGAGAGCAGGACCCTACCCAGAGAGGCAGAGATGCCAGGTATGGAAACAGATAGGATGACGTGGACAGATGGTGCAGCTGGGGACACTGAACTCCGGGAGGGAGAGGGGCTGTGTGCGGACGACCAGGAGGCGGGCCTGTGGGCCGTATCCTTTGGTTATCTGATGATGCATAGAGGGGATTGTAATCATTGCAATGAAACAAAATAAAACTGATATTCTTCCGTGTAAACCTCACAATAAAAACATTAAAAAATAATAAAGTCTTAGGGTTATGAAAATTGCCATCACCAACATTGTTCATTTTAGTAAGTGGAACTTTTAATAACCTTTTTAGTGCCATGCCTTGCTCATAAGACAAGCGTTAACAAGCCACTTTCCTGACTTTAAGCTTGTAATAAATATTCTTGCACAGCATGTGATTTGTCCAAAGAGTGAAACATGCAGGCTTGCATGATATTCAGAGGCTTAGTATGCACACATCACTTGGCCTTCCCGTTTTCAGAATGATTTCTCCCTTTTACCTTTTAATCCTAAAAATGCATATTTGTATGTGTGTGTGTGCTTTTTTATGAAAGGTGTTTCTTCTTAAGATGATTCATCTAAGAACAGTTGAAATGATGCTGAACAAATTGATTTCATTTAAAGCTTAGTCGTTAACCAAATGCTATGTAAGATGTATATGAATAATTATAATTCTGAATCATTTGAGGACATTGGCTTCTATGTAAAATTGAACTAGTCAAAATTGGGGGAAATCGCCAAGGAGGAAACTTCCATAAAAAAAGCAGATGTAGAACTCCCTGAGATGTTAAAAAGCAACACGTCATTTTTAATTCCCTGGCAAAATTCATGAAAAGTACAGAAGGTTGTTGTTGTTGTTAAGTGTTGTCGAATTGGTTCAACTCATAGCAGCCCTATATAGCATTTCCCGCGATGTTGTGGTTCAAACTGACCTTGTCGTCCAGTGCTTATCCTACAGCACCACAGCAGTACTCCAAAGGAGTTATATTACTACATTAAAATGTTTGTTGCTGTTGTTAAAAGCCGTTGAGTTGGTTAAGACTCATTGCAAACTCTATATAGGGTTTCCAAGGAGCAGCTGGTGGGTTTGAACCACTGACTTTATGGTTAGCAGTCCACTGCTTATCCTAAGACTCCATTAAAATGTTTTTAAGAAAATATAAATAGGCTTTCTCATTTACTAAATCTACGGCCTTGAACAAATAGCCTCTGTAAGTCTCAAATTCTTCATCTGAAAATGAGGATAATAGTATCTACTTCAGAGAATTGATATGGGACCTAATGAGTTTGTGCTTGTGAAACACAGCACATACTTCTACACAGCAGCAATTGTTCCTGATGGTGGTTCTTATGATGATGATGAGGAAAACGATAAAGTAAGGATGTTGACATAAGGTATAAAAAGAAGTTTGAGATTCACACACATACACACACACACACCCCGACTCCTCACTGATTCTAAATTCTGTTTCTATGGTAGGTGGTGGACTTTGTATCAGCCACTCTACAGAGAGCATGTGCAAGCTTGGCCCATCAGGCAGAAAGTACAGTGGAATCGCAGACACTGAGCATGTCCATGGGACTGGTGGCTGTCATGTTGGGAGGAGCTGTTCAGGTGAGTTGCAGACATGAGGCAAAGGTGAATGGAAGGAAAAGAGAAAAGAAAAACCTTGGGTTCCTTCCATACTTTATGAAAAATAAGAATGGACATCGTCTTACACAGGAGAACCAGAATAAATACGTCAAACTGTTGATGGAAATTCTTTCCAAAGTAGAGGATAAGAAAATTGCACCATTTCTAATTGACTACCTGCACAGACTTCACCATCAGAAAGGTAGAGCCCTTTCTGACCTGACACAAACTTGGTTTATAAACCATGTTTTACCTCAATTGGATGAGTGCAATGGCTTGCTATAACACAGCCCTTGTCCCTAGCACAGCAGTTTGGGATAAAACTTAGTAACTTGCTGGCTGCTTGGGACTCCCATCTGTTTCCATAGCTCCATTTTTTCACAAAATTAACTGTTCAACTCATATAATGTAGCATAGTAAAGCTATGTTTCCAGTCACTTCTAAAGTGCATGTTCCTTTTATACACTTAGTTCATAATTTAAAAAATGTATTCATTTAAAATGTATTTATCGAGTACATGCAATGTGCTGTATGTACTGTGCTAAGTTACTGGGAATACAGTAGTGGACAGGGCAGATGTGGTCCTTACTCTTATGAAGCTTACAGCTCAGTAAGAGAGTCAGATAGTAAGTAAGTATGCAAAAATATATTTACAGTTGAGTAATGTGCCTCAAAGAGCATAACATCTAACCTAGGTTAGGAAGGCTTCCACTGAGGTAGTGTAAGTTTAAGCTAAGACTTCAAAGGATGAATGGCAGTTTGCAGGAATGAGGGTAGTTAATAGTTGAATGGATACTATATAGACAGAACAGGGGAAGAGTAGTGCCAGACAAGGTAGAAAGGTAGGCAGGGGCCGTATCATACATGTATGTGACTGGTTAATTACATCTCACTTTAGCTTAGGAGACTACAAGAAAGCAGAATAGCGTAATGCCAAATTAGTTGCTGCTGAGTCGATTTCTGACTCATGGTAACCGCACGTGTATCAGAGTAGAACTGTCTCCATACGGTTTTTAATGACTGATTTTTTTAAGCGACTCACCAGACCTTTATTTTGAAGATTACTGAGACTAGTAATAAATCTGACCAGATTGTTAATGGTTGTAACCCTTAGCAATCAGTAGGAAACCTAGGGGGAATGGATTGGTTTCTGAATTTGAGGATTCACATTTGATTCTGATTCTTGATCAATGAGGGGGCTTCAAAAAGCTTGTGTGGAAACATTCCATTATCTTTTCATTCCATTTTTCCACACACTTTTTTTTTTCCATACACATTCATTTTCAACAAACTATTGAACCCCCATTGTACAAGGCTATGCATATGATCCATTCTTCAATGTGTCTTTAAGTCTAAGTAAATCTTTCAGTTGAATTTGTAGGTAAATTGCAACAGGTACATACGGTTCTTACTTAGCTTTACTTTAGTGCAATAAAAGGCGGGGAGCTTTTTCAGTGATTTAAAAGCTGCATGTGCATCAAGTGAAGGTGATTGTGATAAGGAATTTGTTGCAAGTAAAGTCGGTTCAAGGAGCTTTGGTAGCGTAGTGGTTACAAATCGGGCTGCAAACCTTAAAGTTGTCAGTTCGAAACTACCAGCTGTTCCGCGGGAGAAAGATGAGGCTTTCTGCTCCCATAAAGATTTACAGCCTCAGAAACCCTGTACAGGGTCTCTATGAGCTGGAACTGACTCCACGGCACATAACCACCACCATCACCAAGTCGGTTTAGCTGTTTCAAAGTGAGGACAAATTTACATAACATTAAAGCCAACTACAAATTATCCTTAAGTCAGACATTTGTGATCAGAGAACAACCTGTAGTAGAATTTGCCTCTCTCTAGGCGTCCTGGTGTGGTGCTGAGGGTTAATGCTCTGGACTGCAAGGTCAGTTTGAACCAGCTGCTCCTTGCAAACCCTATGCGGTGTTGCTATGGATCAGAACCGACTCGATGGCACTTAACAACAATAACAAAAAGCCTGTCCTTAAAGGGAATAAAATTTTGTCTGGGCCTCTTGTAATGCCCATATCTTGGTCGAATAGCTTAGCACTTTATATTTCCCATGTGGTGGAAGAAAAGGGTGTTGGTTCAGTTTCTGAAGCCATGTTATGTCCCTGCCATTAGAACTACAGTTTTAATATTCAGTGGGGCACATAATGAAAGAGTATTCTTAAGTTGTATTGGTATTGGATTTAGTTGGATGATTCATTTTTGTTCTTCTGGTTGAGTATTAATTTGTAAAATCTTTGCTTCCATAAATTGGGAGTGATTTTTTGCTTTCTTCCTTGTCACTTAGCATTTAAAATTTCAAACCGTATCTGAGTGGAAAAATAGATCATAAAATCTCCATTTCACTTTTTAGAAATCCATTTTTTAGGAGCTAACTGTGTTAATTAGTCATGTTGTAAGAGACTCACCAGACTGATGCAAATAAAGTTTTCCTTGCCTGGCCCTGCCCTTCAGTGAGCCATTCTGACTCACTAATTACATCCTGGCTTCCTCTGACTTTGCAGTTCCTTAAATGAACATATGCAGGTCATTCCTGTACTTTTGCCCTAGATCTATTTTTTGTTTTTTTCTGTTTGATTCATGGATTTATATGTGACTTCTACAGTAATACTGGGTTTTCTGCCTTTGTATTTGGGCAAAAATCATGATCGTGAGTTATGTTTAAGATGATTTGTTTTATCAGACTAGGGCCTTTGTTTTAGAGTCTAGAAGATTGTACTGTACCCATCCTGTATTAAGATTTATTATTTTGGCTAATGAAACATAATCTAACACCATTTGAATCTTTTTCCCTTTTCTTTCTAATATGTATAATGAAGATGATTAGTACAACATCGTGTCTGGGAAGGGGGAGGTAATTTCGAGAAAGTACAGGTTTAAGACTGCTAACAAGACTATTGTAATTGCAGCATTATTTTCTGAATTTTAGAGTTGGTCATCAGTAAAAACCTTATGTTGGTAACTTTTTCCTGTCCCTTCAGGAAACAGTTTCTACATGGTATTTTAGGCCCTTGGGGTCCGCCAGAGCAGTGCTACACTAAGCTGAGCAGGCTATTCTAGATTTTCAGGGAAAACCAAAACCCACTGCATCCAGGAGGCAGTGGAGCCTATTAGTTAAAAACTGGGCTCTGAAACTTTAAATGTAGATTCTGTTAGTTGCTAGGCTTATGTCCTTGGGCAATTTACTTAGCCCCACTCCTCAGTTTCCTCATAAAAAAAGAGCAAAAATAGTACCATCCCTTATATAGTTGCTGTAAGGATAAGTGAAATAATAGTACATGATTTTGATTACTACTATTATTTTGTTCCTTCTGGCCCCTGCTAAGTGGTTAAGGCTAATCTAGTAAGCTATTGTGTTGCTAGTATGATGCAGTTATGTTTCAACTAAAGATTTAAAACCAAGATTTATTGTGTACTTATTATGAGGTATGCATGATGTGTCCTGGAGAATACAAAGCTATGGTCCTTGCCCAAATAGTTGCAGTGTATTGTTTTTGTTTGTTGTTGTTAGGTGCCATCGAGTCAGTACCAACTCGTACCGATCCTATGAACAACAGAACAAAACACTGCCTGGTCCTGGGCCATCCTCACAATTGTTGCCACACTTGAGCCCATTGATGCTGCCACTTTGCCAATCCATCTTGCTGGGGGTCTTCCTCTTTTTCTCTGACCTTCTACCTTACCAAACATGATGTCCTTCTCCAGCGACTGGTCCCTCTTGATAATATGTCCAAAGTATGAGAGACAAAGTTTGGCCATCCTGGCCTTCGAGGAGCACTATGCCTTTAATACAAGTAAAGAGATTATATACAAGGCACATTGTTGGCTCAATCTGAAAATAAATAATAACAACAGCAACAGCAGCAGTAGCACTAACATATTGTTATTGTTTACTGAAGGTTTTCTAAACACCAAGCCTTATGATAGGGAAATGGCATATATTAACTTAGTCAGCGCTTACAACTGATGAAGATACCCATATAGTGAGGCTGAGTAACTTGCCTAAAATCAATGAGCTAGTAAAGTAAGAGCTAGAATTAAAAACAAAAAATTAATGGAGATTAACATAACATAAATAATAAAGTGCACAAATTCTTAGTATAGCTGGTTTCCTGCTTATTAATATATACACTCATGTACCCACTCTGATCAACAACAACAACCCACTCTGATCAAGATATGAAACAATCTAGTACCCTAAAAGAGACCTGGTGTGGCATTATGGGTTAATGTGCCAGACTGCAAAGCCATTTGAACTACAAGGTGGGCAATTCAGTCTCACCAGTCGCTCTTTGGAAACCCTATACAGGGTTGCTATGGGTCGGAACCAACTCGATGGCACTTAAAAACCACAACAGTACCCTAGAAGTCTCCCTGTTCCCTTCTCAGTCAATAACCATTGCTCCTCCTAAAAGGTAAATATTCTATAGCCATAGATTAATTTAGTTTATTTTGAACTTCATCTGGATAGAACTACACACTATATATGTTCTTTTATATGTGGCTTCTATTATTCAAGAATATTTTTTGTAAGATTCTGCCATGTTATTAAATAACAGTTGTTAATTCTTATTGCTGTGTAGTATTTCATAATATGAATATGTGGTTGTTAAGTACAAATCCATAGCCATCGAGTCAGTTCCGACTCAAAGCAACACTGTATAGGGTCTGTAAATCTTTACCGGAGCAGAAAGCTTCATATTTCTCTTGGAGAGTAGCTGGTGGGTTTGAACTACCAACCTTATGGTTAACAGTCCAGTGCTTATCCTACCCATATGCACGGGTTCTTACTTACTACAAATTTGAGTTAAAAACATACATAGAAACATATCTCATCACTAATTTCAGGGACTTCCCACATGAGGGATCTTCAAAAAAGTTATGGAATAATGGAGTTAAAAGACAATGGAGAAGACAAGAAGGAGAGAACAAACAAGATGGTGGGTAGGGTAGAAGTGCAGTGAGGAACTCCA